GGTGCCCGTGCAGAACATGAGCTCCGACACCGTGTCCGTGACGCCTGTGCCCGGCCAGACGCTGGTGACAGTGGCCACAGCCACCGTGACCGCCAATAATGGGCAGACGGTCACGATACCTGTGCAAGGTGAGCGAAGCTGCACATCCTACTCGCCAGCCGCCTGGCAGTACCCAGCCAGGGACGGAAGCCGGGCAGCCTGAGCTTAAGGTTTCATCTACTGAAAAGAAAAGATGAGCAGAATTTAAACACACAACTTGGCCAGCACAGAGCTCTCCAGGCTGCCACTGACTACATATGGAACTCATTAAGCTTGCTATCCTGAGCTGCCTGGGGAAGGCTGGATCAATACTAAAAGTCTTTGTCCATAACAGTTATCTTGTTGTCTATTTAAAAGTCTGAAGTATACATGTATATCTGAATAATAATCATTTATAATTCATTCATAATTATAAAATAATAAGCAAGTTTTGCTAGGAAGAGGAACTCCAGGAATTAATTTGTTTCAAACTTCCACTTTTTCTCTTAAATTACAGGTATTGCCAATGAAAATGGAGGAATTACCTTCTTCCCAGTGCAGGTCAACGTAGGTGCCCAGCCTCAGGCTGTGCCCGGTTCCATCCAGCCTCTCAGTGCCCAGTCCCTTGCTGGTCCTCTCAACCCTCAGATGACGGGGGCAACATTGCAGTTACCAGGCCAGGTAACAGTGCAGCAGCTCTCTGGAGAGCCCAGACAAACCCAGCCCTTGGCTGCAGCCACCAGCGCCAGACCCCGGAAGATGGGGTCACTGTCCCTCTTCTTCAGGAAGGTAACTGTCCAGTCTTAATTTGTGCTTCATTTAATTATTATTTATTTCAATATGTTTTCACCTTAATTTTAAAATATCAACTGCTTTAAAGTGATACTTGTTACAGTTTTAAATTTAACATATGCCTTGCCTCTTCATGTACACATTTGAAGAGTAGTTTTCTTTATGCAGGCAGTGTTTTAATATATAGAGAATAGATAAATGCCATAAGGCATGAAATAAAGGAGAAAATAGATTTAGCCTCAACTGATTTAATATGTTCTTTCAAGGCTCTGATCTAGTCTGCTGGCCTGCATTAAAATAAATAAATAATAAATATCGATGTGGTCTAAATCGTAGCCTGTGTGTTGGCAGGTGTACCATTTAGCTAGTGTTCGCCTGCGGGATCTCTGTGCCAAACTGGATATATCCGATGAGCTGCGGAAAAAGATCTGGACCTGCTTCGAGTTCTCCCTGGTTCACTGTCCCGAGCTGATGATGGACAGACACCTGGACCAGCTGCTCATGTGCGCCGTCTACGTGATGGCCAAGGTGAGAGGAAGCACGATACGTTACACACTTAAATCCCAGGAATTACAGTTCCTCAAAGAGAACCCAGCCAACACACCTGCTCGCTCTGAGCCTCTTCTTGTCTGCCTGTAGGTTACCAAGGAAGACAGATCATTTCAGAACATCATGCGCTGCTACAGGACACAGCCGCAAGCCAAGAGTCAGGTGAGTGCAGGGAATGGCAGCCATGGGGTGTCTGGTTATTGACTCTCTCAGGTCTACCTCAGGAATGATGGATTTTTAAAGTGAGTTCTAACATTAAATGAATCTATCCTATTAGCCATTGTCCTCAAAAGAGAGCAGTCACTTCTGAAATTCTTCAGTAGTGCAAGCTTTTGATTCTACACCTAAAATAGAAAAATATTCTCCCTGAATACCTGCAAAAACAGGGCCAGTTGTGAAATACTGTTCTTCATGACAAGGCTTTTTGCCTTGGGACACAATCTGATAACACCAGGCTCTACAGCAGGCTGGACACAGTTGCTGCACCTCTAAGGGCGCTTCCCTCTCCTCTTCCTGGCAGGTCTATCGGAGCGTCCTGATAAAAGGCCGCAGGCGCCGGCGCCGCTCGGGCAGCAGCGACGGCGGGAGCCAGCAGAACTCGCCCGCAGATAGAGGCAAAGAGAAAAACAAGGAGAGAAGTAAGTGAGGGTGGTAACCCACTTCCAAACAGGTTCTGTGAGGGGAGGCTGAGGTGTCACTGCTTGCTAGGCTGGCCCTTGTTTGAAATGGCTTTAGTGGGCAACAGCACAGCTGCCATTAGAAACATGCAGGTGTGTGCAAAACAGAATTGGAGCTGTGCCTCATATCCCAATACTGTGGTGGAAAGCAGCCAGCTTATACACAAAATCCTACTGCAGCTTATTGATTAATGCAGAAACCAGATGTGTTTCTATATATACTACTCAGGAGCTACCCCTTCATAATGTGCTGCGAGTGGGCAACCCACCCAGGGTGCTGGGGGCCAGAACTGACATTACAGTACGAAGCGCGGGCGCGGGGCTGCAGCCCTGCCCTGGAAGGGGCTGGGAAGGCCGTGTTTGAGGGCGGCTCATGCGCAGCACGGGCCGAGTCAAGGAGGTGGCTCTCGCTTCCCAGGCAGCAGAGACTCCAGCCCCGTGATGCGCTCAAGCAGCACCCTGCCTGTCCCGCACCCCGGCAGCGCCCCACCGACACCCACCCGCCTCACGGGCGCCAACAGTGACACCGAGGAGGAGGAGCGAGGGGACCTCATTCAGTTCTACAACAACGTCTATATCGAGCACATCAAGGACTTTGCCCTGAAGTATACGTCAAACACGGTGAGTAGCCCTGCGCCTTCACAGGTAGGTAGATCTTACTTGATTCTCTAGGCAGAAAAGTATTCTTGCTGACCTCGTTTAAGGAGGAGCAGATTTGGGGGTGGTTTGTTTCAATGTAAGGACAAGAATTTCAGTTCAAGGACACACAACATACTCTGCTGCCAAAACACTAAGCGCTTTTTCATACCCATGTGCTTTTTCCTCCTGCCTGGAATATACAACACTGAGTGATATCACCCACAGGCCTCACACGGCTGCATACAGCACATTAGTATTGCCAGAAACGTGAAAAACTAGTCAGAAAACTGAGCCACATTTGAGATGGCTGACGGTTCAGGAAGGTTTTTGTAGCGCCGGTGCCGAGGTACCAGCTGTGCTTGTGCTCCTCTCCTGCGCAGAGCGACTCCCCCCCGCTCTCTCCCTACCCCTTCGTGAGAACAGGCTCCCCGCGCCGCGTGCAGCTCTCCCAGCACCACCCCGTGTACATCTCACCGCACAAGAACGAGTCGGCGCTTTCTCCACGGGAGAAAATATTCTACTATTTCAGCAGCAGCCCCTCAAAGGTAAGACTGTGTTGTGTTTTTCTTTCTTTTGATAAATCCTTAAATCTTCCTTCACATTTTTGGTAGTGCCAGGTGTTCAGGTTCCCTTGAGAATACAATTCTCTGGAAACATATGACCCTTAAAATGAAAGGACTTACCAGTGCTTAGGCAACAGGGTGGTTCCTGGGAGGTCTGGCCACAAGCAGCCTTGTTCTGGAGAGGAGATGAATCTGTGATGATGTTAGAGAGATACCACGACCTGAGCGTGGGCAGAGGGCAGTTAAGCTACACGTGCTCACGACTGGGCTCTGAAAGCAGAGGCTTAAGCAAGGCTCTGAGCTGCTCTCAGAGACTGCCCAGGGCAGGATGAGCAGGGCTCCTAGGCCACCAGAAACACGTTGTATAGAACAGACCCTTAAAAATGAAGCATTTGAAGCACAGTGAAAAGCTTCAAGGCAGCCATGGACCAACTCCTTACCATTTTCTTTTCTCCAGAGGCTAAAGGAGATAAACAGCATGATCAGAACAGGAGAGACTCCAACCAAGAAGAGAGGCATCCTCCTGGAGGACGGTACAGAGGCACCGGCCAAGCGCATGTGCCAGGAAAACCACACGGCTCTGCTGAGGCGGCTGCAGGACGTAGCCAATGACAGGGGCTCTCACTGAGCCCGGCACTGCCGACCTGCCCAGGCATTACCTCCTGGTCCCAAACGCCTTGGAAAGAGGCCAGAAAGCAGCTTCCCGCTGGGAACAGGACAACACGAGCCCCACGGTTAAGCAAATCCTACGGCTAGTCATCAGGCTGGGGCTGGAGAAAAGCTGTGGTTCCATGTTTCTTTTCAGTGCTAGGAGAACACGTCCTTGAGAGAGCTTCCCACCTTGTGACAGGTATTTACATTAACCTGCTACCTGCAGTTGCTTACACTGGTTTCTCAGTGCTTTGTCATGTTCATCTTTGGCCTAACAAGCTAATACATGCATCAAATCTGAGAGCTCTGCACCAAGATCCTCATATGCAGGGGTATCCTGTTTTTTTTATGTTGAAGACTTCTATGGAAAGAGTGACTTACAAGTGGTATTTTACAGCCAGGTGTTCTGCCTGGACTTTGCATAGGAAAGGGAGGACAGGAGGATTTTATTGTTTAAGCCCTGAAGGAAGATAAATGGTTTCTTCCCTAGTTCAGGACGTTGTGTGCCCCTGAAAGCAAAACAACCTGATGGTGTTAAGCCTTGGGCACCTTGTTGTATACAAGTAGGTAATTTGTTCTTGCATTGTTTTTAGCTGTGCAATGTTTTAAAGTGAACTCATGTTCATCAGGCGGCACTTTTGATAGGGCTGTGAAGCATCATTTTTAAGGCAGGTTAGATTTGCTGTATATTTGCAATGGCACTTTCTAAATGTGAATATTTTTTTCAGGGTCTGAGACTTCAGATGTTTTTCTTTATTGAAGCAATTTGACTTATGTATTTATTTTCAAATTGAGATCCCACAGCTCCTGGCTTCAGCACATGGCATTAAGAGTTCACTGTAAACTTAATGTGTATGCAGTAATGAATGCAGGAAGCTGGGGATGGTTGGTTTTTTCCAGGAATTTTATATGCCTATAATTTTTCTTGAGTTGTTTTTTTTTTTTTTGAGAGAGAGAGAGAAGAGGGTCAGGAATTTTTTTTTTAAGGGCAGAATTTGGGGACTTTTTTTAAAATAGGCTAAATCAGGCTGCCTGGGAGAAATCTCTCCCCCTACTAACAACATAAGGAAGTGGTGCATATGTTAGACTTGCCAATTATTTTCAATTAAAAAAAAAATCCCAAAATATCAAACTTCTTAGTTAATGTTTTCTTAACTCATGCACTATACCAGTTTGCTCCTTTTCAATGACATAATTGAGGATAGTGTTTTCATTAATGGAAAATGTAGGACACACGATTATAGAAGCTTTATAAGGAGGTAAAAGTCCAAAGCTTCACCCTTTCAGTCATTCCTGCTCCTCAGAATAATGGGAAGATTTAGGACTTAATTCCACATCTATTCAATTAAGGTAAATTAAAAGCATGTTTCATTCTTACCTGCGTAACAAAAACGCTGAAGTTGACCAATTCTGTAGATATTTCTGTAAAGATATTTATGAAATTGTCAGGCCATTCTTGTTACTCTGTACCATTTACCTTACTTTGTATGAAAGCATTACACGTGTATTTTTCAATAAAGAATTTATAAACTCACAGTCATGTTGCTGTACGAACCAAACCTTCCTCTATGCAAAGCTGCCGAGAGCTGCTAGCTCTCAGGCAACTACAGTTGGGTGCTTGGTGCAAAAAGAAAATATCCAACCGCTCATCAGAGGAAGGGCCGAGAGCTACAGCGGCCACTAAATACAGTTCTTCAACACAAGCATTGCAATAATGGTTACAAGGAAACATCTATTAATCACCCCAACAAGACACATTTTCATAAATACTAGTTTATGGTTGAACTCAAGGAGGAAGTTCCTGGCATTTCCTAGTTCAGTTCTGTGGGACTGTTGCGGCTGACGAGAGGCGGGTGCAGCTCCTCCAGCCAAGGAGAGGCTGGTGCTGCTCCCCTGGCTGCCAGGGGCACTGGCATTAACATCTGTCAGCCTGATGGTCTGGATGGTTTCTGAAGCCAAACTGGTAGGTATGGCTGGCTGATTGTGGGTTGTGAGGAACAGCAGATATGCAAGGAATAGTTCATTGTCTGCAATAAATACTAAAAATACTACTGCAGTAGACATGCCTCTAAAAATGCCTAGCATATTTTTTATATATCTCGATCTCAGGTTATTTGCCTTCATGACTGAAGTGTTTAAAGTGTTAGCATAACTTACATTCCTCTTTCTCAACTATTCTATAAAGAATTCAGAACTGTAGAGACAGTCACAAGTGTCTTTAAGGTCATTTCTTGAGTGAATTAATGCCTCAAATAATGACAGGTTCTTGCAGTTGGTCTTATCTCTCCTTTAACCATATACCTAGGTATGTACTATATGGAAGATGAGAGTAACTTCAGGAGAGAAGGGTTTGAAATCAGCATGGTACTTTGAGTACTCATTTGCTTACCTTCCTCCTGGGACAGCTGCTTTTAGTTCACAAAGCTGATTGCAGGTGACCTTGCTCAGGTTCTTTCCCCTGTGTTCAAGAAAAGAAAAATCAGATTATTCTTTTTGAAGTACACAGGACTCACAGTTCTTTAAATAAACAGCCTCCCTACCCAACCTAGTGCTCAGATGCATGTGGAGGGCGCAGGACACAATCTTCATTAAAGCTCAAGGAGAACTAAGTTTACTGAATTTATTGAAATTAGTAATTTTTACTACATTACTGATTTTTACTAGATCATTATTTGTTCTTACTGATCTTTTACTGTGGTACTTCCTAGGCTCCAGCTGCACTAAAAAAGCTGTAACAACCCTAACCAAAAGAGACATAAGAGAGTGACAGACAAAACATTTTTCAGCTACTGAGCTGTGAGGCTGTTATCCCCCTTGGGGACTACTCACGCACACACTGAAGACCACTTGGGCACCCATGGGCCGCCCTGGCACAGCCGGCACCGCAGGGCTCCTGCCAAGCAGCAGCTCAGGACGAGCGCGGGGCCCTGCCCGTTACCTCCTCCATGCGCCGGGGAGAGCACCCGCGCCACAAACCCCGCAGCCTCCTGCAGCCTCCTGCTTGCCCAGACCGGCTGCCAGGAGAAGGAAGGATGGGGAGTCTCGGCCCTTCTCCCCGAGCAGCACAGAGAAGCAGCTGCCTCGCCAATATCCGCAGGGATTTGCTCCTCTCCACGTGGAGGGCTCCCACAGGGCCCGCAGGTACCTGCCAGCCGAGTCCTGCTCTCACAGAACAATGTTAGCACGCGGGGCGGGAACGCCAGGACACCTTCAAACAGAGAGATAGAGCGTTAGCACAGGAGGAAGGAGCAAGACAAGCTGCACCGCTTCGGAACTGTGAATTCCCATTTGCACAACAGCAGCCTCCTGGGGTGGGACCAAAGCTGTATTTCGCCAAGGTTCTTCAGAGCACTTGAGAGGAGGCCTACAAACACCAATGGAGCTGTCTGCTCTCCTCCCAGATCCAATTTTTGCCCAGTTTCCAAAATACAGACAGAGGGACAAGAGATGGATCATGATTTTGTTTATTTTTTAAGATGTCACTACTACCACACATTAGTCAAGCTAGCCTAGTAAACCCTGCAGCATAGACACCTAGGGAATCTAAAACCCTCTAAGATTTTATTAGCTCAAGAGACCACCATTAAAAATTCTCATTTTAGTGTTTATGTAATCCAAGTCCAACAAGGCTGACGCTGCTCTCACCTTGTCAGACTAATGTGCGCTTTAGTGACAATATCCATTTACAAATCAATAATACATCATACACTGAGTATCAACCTCAGCTTTACCTCTGGAAAGTGCTAAATGGAGCAATTGAACCAGCTATTTACAATTTCAAATCCTAATATATTTACAATAGAAACCAAAGTATTTAAAACCATTAAATATAGTGTTTAACTCTGCTATATTAGTTTACATGAACACAGCTTACCTCTGGCATCATATTTCCTGCTAATATTTCTGCCAGCAATTTAAGATTCAAAAAAAAAAGCTACTCCTGGAGGGAAAAATAAAAGCTTAAAAACCAACCCAAAACCTCCAGGCGATTCAGAGCCCTGAGGAATTACCCACCCTAGACAGCCTCCAAGCAGAAGTACTGTAGTGTTCAGAGATACTTCCAAACTCCAGGCAAGCCTTTAAAACCTAATGCATATGTAAAACATTAAGAGTCAGTAATCCATCGAGCAGCTTTACTGGAGTCACTGCTACCGTTCAGTTTTTACTAATCCATAGTCAAGAAGGAAACTGCTGCTTGGCTGTTTCTCCCTCCGTTGCTTTCCCTGCACCCCGGGCGAGCGCTCCGAGCACACGGCCGGGGAGCTAGGTGGGCATCGTCTTCTCTTCTTTGCTGAAAGGCTGCACTGAGCCCGGCTTTACCCACGACAGGCCAGAGACGTGGGAGCTTTTGCAGTGCTGATCTTCTGGCTTCTTCTAGGTGCAAGAAAGGCAAAGGCAGAGCTGTTAGATATCCTAAACCTCGCCACTCTGCCCGTCCGTTCTAGGCTTGGCTGGACACTCAGTGACACGGTGAGAAGCAGCAGGTACTTTCTCTCCACCACAAAATTGTAGCTTTCTGCAGACAGTCCCTCCCCGCTCCAAACATTTATCATGGTTAGAATTAATCACTTGGACCAGCACAGCTCAGCCAACCTGCAAGACTGACTACTACAGGTAAAGACATAAACTAAAAAGGGAGTAATTATTTGCTTAATGCTCAAGTTACAACACTAATGCAACCGCTTAGGTATATGACCAGTTTCAGCACATTTGCTGACAGGAAAACACTCCTTACAGTCAATATTTGGACTTTGCACTTACCTTTTGACTCAACATCTTCTCTCTAGCTTCATCGTGGATTGCTGGATTCCATGGAGAAAATCTATGGAAAAAGTGAACAGACATGTCTTATTTTGTGGTTTTGTAAACCTATATATATAGGTTTACACTAATATAATAGGTTTACAATAATATAGGTTTACCATATATATATATATATATATATATATATATAAAGTGAAAAGGAGCAGTTTTCCTTGTTTCAGTTGTTTTTTCAAGTCAACTGCAAAGCTTTCAGTGTTACAGCTATGAACTACAAGTCATGCTGCCATGCATCCTTTCAACTAGATGTACTTGGGTTCTCATTTTTATTTGCATTCAGAACTGGAAATTCATGCTGCTGATGCTAAAAGAAAGACATGTGGAGCTTATTATTCTATCCCCTCTGCAAAAGGAAGCTCTTCAGGAATCAGCCAGTGTAATTAACCAAGCTACAAGCCTGAAAATCCCTTCAGGAAGGTCTGAAGGCAGAATCTGTCAGTGCCCTTGGGATATTGCCACATTGGGAGGGTACATTTCTTAAAGTTTTCATATGCTTAGTTAAGAGAGGAAAAAAAAAAAAAAAAAAAAAAAAAAAACAGTAAGCAGAAGCATCTGGTTATATCTAAGGTTCACTCAGTAGTAAAGAGGAGCAAAACTCACAGTATTCCTACGAAGTTAAGAATCAGGTCACTCAACTTCAGTCTACTGTCCATCTCTTACACTTCAAAACAACTGCTACCTTAAATTTCTTTTCACAATATTAGGACATGGTGAGTTTGTCCATGGTACTTACATGATTGCATAGGGATCCTCTATTTTAGGCTGATCAAATAAGTGACTGCTGCATAGTCTGACACTGTCCACCACTTTATTTTTGAACAGCTGAATATCTTTCTCATACCTGCAAAACAGAAATAAGTAATGCTAAATGCTTGCAAAAGCTACCTTTGCTGTGGAGGCTCAGACTTTGCTAAGCCTCAATTTCAGATTCCAGTCTAAGCAACTCAAAGTGTAGACTACAAACTGACACAGAACAGTTGTAGACTCTTTCTCTACTTCTAAGCACAGTTCCAAAGCAGAGCACGACTGCATGCGGGGAAGATACTTACAGCACTGCAGCCTCAGGATTCAGGGGACTCGTCGTATCAATCTTGTAGAAGACTCTGCGAGCATACATTAGAACTTGCCATATGTGATTATGATTCCGCCTAAAAAGAGCAAATCATAGTGAAAAAAAAGGAGGAATAAAACAAACAAATGAGAAAAACACCTTTCAAATTATAAGCCAGTATTTTAGTACCAACCTCCACTTTGCAAATGCTCTTTTCACATCCAGTTCACCAGACACAGGATCTACTAGCGGATGGAAGACAGGCAGATCAAAAACCAAGCGCTGCATTAGAAAAGAGAGATTCCATTTTAAAAGTATTTTTTCTTTGATTAGACAAATGTCATTTTCAAGCACTAATTAGCCAGGACTGTCCTAAGAGGAGACAACTCCAAACTGTTTATCCTGACTGTGAAGCTGTAATCTAAGACGCCCTCATTACAGGCAGGGTCTTGCCCTCTCTCACATGTTTATCAACACATCAAGGAACTAACCCAGCTCCCCGCACAAGCTCGACAGCCAACACAGGCAGTAACATCAGATAAGAGCAGCTAAAACCAGAACTACTCCTTTAGTTCTCGGTGGCTGGGAGCCTTTTACCTACCTGAGTTGCAATCAATATATTGAAATCAATATATTTTTTAATCCTACACCTCTTTAAGTCTCCTGTGCAGTGACACCAAAATGCCTTGTACTCTTTCCAATTTGTTTCCTTGGCATTTAGGCATTAGTTTACATCGCATTATGCATTAGCTTAGTTTCAACACCCTGGTAAAACACCGATGGGTGTATCCATCCACTGGTGACACCTTTTTAAAGACGACAGCTTGAAACAAAAGCCAACGCCAGACAGAGCAGCTTCTGACACAGCAGCCAGCTCCCGGCCCCAGCACTTGCTCACGCACTTCTCCTTTTAAAGGAATTAGGCCAAGAGGGCTGGGTGCCCTGCTCCAAGAGCCACGCTGACTGAGGCCATTTTTGTTAAAGGACTACACTTCCTAGGATACTTTTCCCACAAAAAAAAAAAAAAAAACAAACAAAAGGTAATTCTCTACTATCCACCTCTGCTCTTCCCCACCACCAGACTTTTCAATTTCTCGTAGTTGTTTCGGTGTATTTTAGAGGAGACACAGGCAATAAATTTTGAAGTATTGTGCTAAGTGCTTAACAGGTTCTTGTATTTTATGTCCTACTACGTTGCTACTCCAGTTTAAACTCTTACAAGAGGTCTCCAAATCCAACTTTCTTGCCAAGGAAATAATCGTTCAAAAGGTAAAGAACTGGTTGATTTAGATGCTTTAGGCTATTAAGTTCATAAAATTCCCTCTGTGCCCATAGCACCACTTACCGGGCAGTCTCCATCTGGATAATTATCAGGAATATAGACAGTAAACTTAAACACACCATCCTGGTACAGCCCATGCCTTATGAAGATTACTCCAAACCACACTGCAAATGAGAAAGCTTGCTTGAGTGGAAGAATTTCTTTCTTTGTTTATTAATTTGTTGAGTTACATTTAAACTTACTTATTGCTGACTGGTAAGATGGCTGCACATAGACACCCGGCAACTTCTGCTTTACAACCAGGGTACTGCAATTAGGAACAGCATTTAGAACAGCTCCACAACCACCTTAAATCGACAGCAAGTTAACACGAGCAAAGCCAGGACTCACTGCCAGGAGGTTAACAGTGGATTTCTTCCACAAACTTCCACTCAGTTCCCAAGGGTGACTGCTCTCAAAAGGAGAGGCACAGAACTAGGGAAAAATCCGTCTTTCCCCCTGCTTTTTCTACCCTTCCCTTTAAAGGGCTACAAATAAGACCCAGCGTTTCTTAACAAAAGGGTAAATCGGAAGTATAGAACATCTATTTAATGCACAACATCGCTGCTAGGTTTTTATTTTTCTACTGAAATCCCAAATATAAAGTAAAGGAGATACAAAAAGGTCTTGATTTAATTCAATTTTAACTGCAAATCTGATACAGTTATCACCACTTCCCATTATTTCTGAGATCTGACCAAATCTTTTCCCTCTCTCCCTTAACCTGTGACTTTTTAGAAGTTGCACTTGCTAACTAAGAGTATTAGAGGGATAAAGTACATTCTTACTATTTTTCAAATTAAGGAGTGCACAAAGGTCCTAATAAAATTTAAATCTTACTTGTATTAAGAAGTTTGTGTCAGTTTTCTAAACAAGATTGTTTAATGCTCTGAGAATTCTCCCTTTCAACTTAATGGTTAAATCCAACTGAGACTTAATATTGCATCAGGACTCCAGGGAATTTCATTCCAAAAGGCTCTGCATAGTTTACAATCCCATCCATCTATTACAGAGGAATTCTCCTCAGCTCTGTAGCACAAAACACAAGTTATATAACTAGGAAGTTTTGCAGACAGATTAATCTGCTCCCACAGCAGTCTACAAATTGCTAACAGATCAATTCATTCAACCCAAGGAAAGCTATTTTAACTTGCTAACTACTCATAAAGTTCATGTTAATTATCATTTGAAAGTCAGGAAAGAATACAGTCTTCCTAATATTCATTTTATAGGCCACAACAGGTGCTGTTCAAGTGTTCTCTAAAACCACTGAAGGCAGCTCCCACATGCCAGTGACATCGACAGGACCCTATAGCCATAACTGCTCTCCTATCTAGCAGACATCTGCTTACTTCTATTAATACTTGCTTCCAAAATCGATTATTTCTAAAAACAGAACAAAAAGATGAAGATAACTGGTCAGGAGGCTCCAAAATAAAGCTCAAGAAATATTTCAAAAAATCAAGTCTAAACACACCCCTTAAAATCTCATCCCATTTTGTTCTCAGCTACCTCAAGAGATTAAGGCTGCTCCAAATTTTGCAGAGTTTTACTGCCTTCTTCAGAGATAACACACGCAAGAACTGTTTTTTTTTTTCTTAAAGCACAAGTCCAGAGATCTAAAACAGTAAGGGAAAAAGAAAAAAAAAAAGTGAAAACCTACAATTCTGCGAGCAGAGAATACTCCAAATAAAAAGGTCCATACGAAGCATGTGTTCCATTTGTCGACTGGGAGGAAGGGGCAGGGGACGCAGGCTTGGTTATTGGCACAGCATTTTTGGGAATAGAAGGCAACTGTTTCTTTGCAGAGGCTCGAGGAGGACTCGTTCTTAGTTCTCCAGCCAGCGTTTTCTCTTCAGCTTCAGGTCTCTGTTAGATCAAAAGAGAATCACAAATATAACAGGTCGGATTTTCTAAGTATTAAACATAAGAGCACATTTTAAACACGGCTCTAAATACTGTCTTACTAATTACATGTTTGGACAATGAAGTTGGTCTTGGATTCTGGTGTTCTTTCTGTGTGTGTTTTTAAAGACACTTGTATTCCATTAAGCTTAGTCTACAACTGCAAAAGCAATTAACCTCTGGAGCCTGCACACAGTCCTCTGTTACTACTGCAGAGGAAATCTGCAGATTAGGACTAGTGCTTAAGGAGGCTTGTAAGTATAAATAAATTATCTGGCACCAGATAATATATAGCTCCAGCTTAGAAGTCAAGTCTATTTCCAGCACACCATGTACCCCAACAAACCATTCCCACTGGCAAACACCTCTGCCTTCGGAATTCAGAGAGTCTCTGCACAAGTAGGGTAATAAAGCTGAGATAAAACACAGAGAACTTTATACAGAAGTGTTCCTATGAATACTGCATTTCCTGCTGTTTTATGCTAAGAAAAAGGCCTTTTCCACTCAATTGACCACTTGCTAGAGGACACTGTATTACCTATAGACCCTATAGTAAAACCATAAAGTTTCCCAAGCAAATTTTCAGGTTAAATACTTGTGATTAAGCTAGTTGTGGCAACATAGCATGATTTATGTACAGAGTTCTCAAGAATTTGATACTTGACAAGTAACCAAACCCATGCATCAGAGGTATGTAATTTACTCTGGTGCTGAAAAACTGATAGTCTTTTCCAGAAGTGATACTCTGAAAAGAGACCTTACATATTTCCTGCGCTGGGTGTATGTATGTAACGTCATCACGCAGCACTTAACGTACAGCATCGCTCAGTGCAGATTCATCTCTAATGGCATCTTGTTATTAAATAGTTACCTTGCGTACAGAGCTCGTAGACATGCTCCAGAAAGGGTTCATTACGCGTATTCCAAACAAGGGACTGTAATTTTTCAGTGCCTTCAGAGTTTCCTCAGGTGTCTCCAGCTTATACCCTAAAAACACACAGAATTAGAGTTTAGTGGGTACACATAAAGACACACTGGGGTCAAATCTAAATCTGCAGACAGTTTACATTCCTATAACTACGAGATGTCACCTTCTGAGGTTAAGATCAACAACAGATGATTACTAATAACGACAGTAGTAAAGCTCTGTTATTTATCACACTTCAGAACATTCTTATAGTTATCCATGAAATAATTTTTGCATTAGAATCGCTGCTTCTTTTCAACTAGAAATTTTAAGTCTCACATTCTGCATTTTGGCTCAGTACAGTCAAAGCCTCTATATATTCAAAAATAATAAAAGTTTTCACTCCAAGAGCAAAGCCCAGCACTGGACAGGACTACGAGAGCTTTCTCTGTGGTGTGTGAGGTGCTGTCCCTTGCCACATGTCTCTTCAGAGCACGAGTTTTGAAGCTCTCTACCCTTCCCAGCGAAGGTCGGGATCCTCTCATTGAGTTTGCATCATGCATGTGTCATTTTGTTTTCATCTGCATTGAAACTTGGCCAGGAACAGACAAAGCCACCAAGCACAGAAGTTTCTCTGTAGCTCATTTAATGGTTTCATTATGAGCACTAGGGCTTAGCATGATCAGTGACTCAATAACAAGGATTTAAGCAATGTCTGGTATTTCACCCCATCATCTACTGTTTGCGCCCTCGATAACAATGTTCCCCTCTTTGGAATCCTTAGGGTGTTACCTCCAGCAGCCCGGCACTTAAAGTAAAGCAAAATACACACACACACACACACGACACACACAGGGCTTCTTGCTACTGCATGTGCCAGAACTACTCCTGGCTACAACACCTCTTGCTCCGGCACAGCCTGTTTTCCTACTAATTCTTCCAACTCTCCTGATTTCTAACCTGTTTCTCTTCCTTCTCTTCTGACTGCACTAAATACATGTGGGGGACAACTCCGTTTACTGCATTTGTACAACGCTGGCAGGTGCAATTCCAAGGATGCAAGGAGGGGATAGAGGGAAGAACCCAGGTTTATATCACAGCCAGTACTCTTAAGTTGTTCTACAGCAAATCAGTAACTACTCACACGTTACATGGATTACTTTATAGAGAAATTATTATGTCGTAATCAAAGCTCCTTTAGAAGGGACAATCAATGGCAATCTTTTTACAAGAGAGAAAGTTAAGCTAGATCACTTAGACAAAGAAAGTCTAGCAATGTTATATCCTCACAATGCCTATGCCATATAGTCACATGCCTATGACTATATAATAGCCAGGAGAGAGAGAGAAAAAAAAAAAAAAAAAAAAAGAAAAAGCAAACACCACATTCAGAAAAGCGCTGAAAATTCATTTCCCCGCTTCAAAATCATCTCATACAAACGTTCAAGCTCGACCCAATACCAAAACACCCCAAAGACAAGCAGGGCTGTCGGGACAGCCCGCATTGCTGCCTGTCCCCATATCCCGTCTGGAGAGCAGAGCCAAAGCAGGATGCGCCAGAGGCAGCGGAGCCTTCCCTCTCCCACAGGATCCAGCCAGACTCCCCCAGCAGGGTGGCAGGGAACATTCCCAAGGGAACTTCGGCGAAGCCGGAGGGAGGAGGAAGGGACCCACAGGGAGTGAGAGCAACACGGCCTTGACGGGAGAGCAAGCTGCTAGGAACAGGCACGGCCTTGGACGCACTAGTAGCCAAGTGGAGTGAGTACTTGGCAGTTTAGAGTGTTTTTTCCTTTCTTTTTAAGATTAAGTAACATATTATTCCAGAACCTAAGACATAAGATGCAGGAACAGGTCGGAGAAGGACACACAGCCCAGATTCTTTCAGGCAAACAGAGAAGTGACAGGGGAGCTGGAGAAGCGGCCGAGTGCGCTCCGGGCTCCAAAGGCTCCTTGCAGGAAGCAGCTCCGCGTCCCAGCAAAGTCTGGCTTTATGGGCGCCTGTTTACAAGTCATTAAGAACCGGTTTCCTGTCCCACATGGAGCAGTAATTTAGCCCCAGTTGAACAGCAGAGTAACTCCTGCAGGTTCTGCTAGGTAGCCACCGTTTATCCAGCTGTTTCCTGGCAAGAAGCGATTGGCAACTGTTCTGAACTTTTAGTAAAGCATCCCCAGTTTCACTCACTTGTTAGAACAGGGTGTTATCTCAGAGCAGGGTTTTGCAGAAGGCCATTTCAAGAGCTGTTCAAGGCTCTTCAGAGTTTGTTTCTTTTAAATCACACACACTCCCATCTGCACTACAGATAACAGCATGAGAGAGAGAAAAAGAGAAAGGAAAACATCTTGGGCACAAGAAACTTGCCCTGCACCTGCTCATGCTGCTGGTGCCTTTATCCTGCAGTTTGCTACGCTGCATTAAAGAATCACTAGAAATAAGAAGTTGGATATCCGTTAGATCACGTTTAAATCTGCACATGGTTTCTCCCACCTCTCGCCACGGAGGACCTGCCTCGCGCAAAGCCAGGGCCAGCACCACTAAACCCATTTTCTCATCACTGGAGTCATTCCCCTTTGCTTTGGTGTCTCGTGTGCGTGGTGCCTAGTGCCAGGGCAGCCCCACCAGGGAGAGCAGCACCCTCCTGGACAGACACAACCCGCCGTGTCCGTCCCTGTCTGGCAGGGCGCTAGGCGCACACAGCGACTCCCTCCTGCCCCTGCTCCGGCGTCGCTCCCGCGGGGCCGACAGCGCGCTGCTTCCCCGGGCACACGAGGCAGCAGCAGCTCCCGGACAGCTCCGCTCTCGTCACGTTCATACTGATGCACCCCCTGCTCGGCAAGTCCTTTAACCAGATATCTATATGTATTTATATATTTATATCTACACTGAGCACCACAGATTCAGGCTGTGTCCCTGCTGCGCATCAGGGCTGCACCAAGGAGCCGCCGTGTCCGCAGCCCGGGCCCGCCGGCGCGCAGAGCGGCGCCCTGGGAGGCGGGCCGGCCCCGCGCCGCCAGCGCCCGCTGCTCCCGCGGCCGGGCGCCAGGCCCCGCGGCGGCCCCACAGGCCTCGCCCGCCGCGACCACGGCGGCCGGGAGCGTCTCTCGGGCAAAGCCCTGCGCGCTCCCGGGAGACCCGGCGCGCGTGCCCATACACACACACACACACATATATATATATATATATACATTAACGCGCACACAGAGGCGCCCGCGCGCCGCCGCCCTCCCGCCCCGCTCACCGGCGCCGCGGCCGCCGCAGGCCCCGCCAGCCGCCGCTCCCCCCGCCGCAGCCCCATTTAAACCCCACCCCTCGGCGCGCACATCCGGGCGCGCCCGACCAATCGTCACGCGGCCCCCCGCGGGGAGCCGCTTGCGCTGCCGCGCCGGCCAATGAGAGCCGCCCTCCTGCCTGTGACACAATAAGGTTTGCGGCCCGGGGTGATGCCGCGCTGGTGGTGATTGGTAAAAAGCGCTGCCCGTCTCTGGAGGGCGAGCCAATGGGCTGCGCTGACGCACCTGTCACTCTGTGAGCAGGAAGAAAGCACGGAGGAGGCAGCGTGCCGAGGAAGCACCTCTCATTGGCTGGCGGAGCCGTCGCTCGAGCAACCTGCTCTCGGCTCGCGATTGGCGAAGGCGCCGGGGCGGGCGGCGGTGATTGGCGGCTCGCAGGCTCGGCCCGCCCCCCGCGAGGCGCTGCCCACGGGGCGGGAGGGCGCGTCGCGCTGTGGGAAATGGCGGCAGCGGCTGAGGGGAGGGGAGGGCGCGGGGGGAAAGCGGGGGAACGGGGCAATTAGTCTAAACCCGCTGAGGTAAAACCGGCAGGAAGCTGCTGGAGGAGACGGTCCCGCGGGAAAGAGAAGGGGCTGTGCATCCACATGAGCAAAATTGCTATGGAGGCAGCAGAGTGCAGGGGGAAGAGGATGTGTAAGAGCGGGAAGGGAAATAAACCCCAGTTGGCTCATCCCGAGCTCAGGGGACTCGTGTGTTGCCCATTGGGCCTGCTAGGGCAGTCACAGGAGTGCAAGTCCAAAACTAACCATTGGTCACAGTTTGGGTCACAGACCAGAGCAGCAGGGCAAGTGACAAATACACCAATACAGCCACTTCCACCCCTATTCCCCCAGCAGAAACACCATGTCAGGGTCATCACGTGTCTTGAACACTCTTATATCTGCCTGGCCTTGCCCCAACAACACTCCAAATCTTGAGCATTTAGCCACAGTTAGTCAAGCCCAACTACCTGTGGTTGTGAAACCCTTTCCCAAATTCCTGTTCTCAGTGCGCCCAGGGAAAGCAGAACATGGTGCCACACAACTCCTGCTCAGGTCATAGCCGCAGTTGCTCTCTGTTCCCTCTTACATGCAGTCTTTCTGCTGCGGTTAGTCTAGAAAAGGCTTGGTTGTCCAGCACCAGGCTCTCCATACCTGTTTATCTGCTTTCTTACCTCATTGCTTCTCTATCTCTTTTTTCTCATGTATTTTCTACTAACAGCATCCAATCTTGTCCTGCCACGTCTCTCTGAAGATGATGCTTCCAGAAATCTTTTCTGCGAGGTTTTCTCCATGAGAGGACTTGTCCTACGGTGCTGCTGCTAGATCATGGTCTTGCTCTGGAACCTGCATGATGATCAGAACAACAGGTCTTATTTCAGTGTACACGTTCAGGGCATCATAAAAACTGTATCACAACGATAATAAAGAATTTTAATTTGCTAACTTTGATGAAATGTTCCTGTAGTAATAGCGGGCATCAGGTATTGAACATATTATTGTTGATTCTCCAAACACTGCTATACTCCAAAGCTACTTGTTTTGCCAACTATAGAAACACATTGACAGAAGAGAAAAAAAAAAGATCTTGGCTAATATATTTTCATAGATGCTTATTCTGAACCACCGATGAGGAAAACGCTTTTTCTGCCTGATCACTAGGAACCACGTGCAATGAGCACAACACCATACTGTGTGTGACTCCAGGAACAGGCACTGCCTGCAGCCTGGGTGCAAGGCCAGAGTGCCCCCGCTCAAAGTCCTCAAGTGTCAAAGGACTAAATTGCCCTGCGTATGGCCATTTGCTCCTGGCACAGTCAAATACTACAAACATCATTGTTATTGTGCTTTCTTTTTCTCATTTTAAATTACTATTAAATTATTTAAAATCTTAAATCTGTTCATTGAGGAAAACATCAAGTCTGGAAAAATCTAAACCCCAAAACATCAGTACAACAGTATAATAAATCTTTAGGTGCATGCACAAGGATTTTCCTTTGTTTTCCCACCTTAACAGTACTGACCATGCAGTGGGAGTGCAGCAATTTAATCCCTCTTTGCTTCTGAAACCCAAACAAAGTCTATCCAAATAGATGTCCTCAGGTGAGCTTTACACATCGAGGAAGTTAAATAAAGTTAAATGAAAAAAAAAAAAAAGTAAATAAAAAGCAATTTACTCTCTGGTAAATCAGTAATGCCAGAATAGCTAAATTTAATATAATTACTTCAAAGAGGTACACAGAAGTTGTCCTATGAGTCAGGCTAAAAATAATAAGTAATATAGTGGACTAGATTCTGCTTTTAGTCACGCTAGATCTGAACGAATTTTACTGAACAAAATCTTTGTATTTTCTCTGGTGAAGGAGGATAATCCGGTCTAGAATGGCCTTTGTATATTTATATTTTGCTTATCTTATTAAAGATTTCTTTTCCTATGGCTTGGTGTCTGTAGAAAATATTATCAGACAGTTTAATACAAATCCTGCTACTTTTTCACTTTGTACGTAAAGGTAGGATAAAAATCACCTTACACAAATAGCCTAACTCTTCTGCCTTTACCATTTCCACATCTCACTACCTATTCAAGGAAATATATAAAAGATACCGTGAGCCCGAAGCACAAAATCTTTAGGGCTTGTTGAATCAGCTTGAAAGGGTATTAAAGGTCCATTGTCATTTGCACACCAAGAATGCCTTTGAAAATGGCATCATCGTCTTTAAAGAGATGGGCTATCACTCGAAGTGCATCAGTTTAATTCTCTCGGGAGATTTTGAAGAAAGAAGCTGTAAAATGGAGAGCCAAATAGCTCTATCTTCATATTAAAATCCAGGTTTCTGGCATAGCTCTTTTACCCAGAAGGCTAAATACAATAAAAAAATTTCATTTAAAAATTGTCTTTAAGATAGCATGGAAGAAGAAACATGTTGGCAAAGACTTTCTGCAATGCATATATTCATCCTCAAGCCCCTCAATTCATAACCCAAAAGATAAATTGCCAAGTACCTACCTCTCTGTGAAACAAGAGAGATGATGACCATGTCATTTAAGGGATATTTAATATTACATTCAGCATTCAGAGGTCCTGGATAGTTCTGACTGACTTAATCTGGGCCAGAATTTCACACTTAGGGGTGACCGAAGTGCTCAGAAATAATCTGAACTCGAGAGATGAAGAGGAAAGCTAAAATAGACTCCCAGTTAGCTCAAGGGACCACTTGGCACCACTAGGTGGTGATCTGCAGCTGTCCTATTCGCACGGTGCGATCCAGAGGCAGAGAAATGACTAAAATACCGGCACTGAAACAAGATATATGCTGTATGACAATAAAAAAACGATCAGGGCTACTGCTGCTAGCTGCAGATAAATATGTAAGCTGGTCTCCCACTGAAATCCTCAGGAGTTCCGTGTGAAGACGGACAAGAGAATTTCCAAAGCCCATCTATACGATTACACAAAACATACCCTTACTTCATAACTAATAATATTAGTGTCACCTTTTTCCTCCAAAAATGCAAAGGTGAAAGATGATATTTTGCCATTATCACTTTCAACATTAATAAACACAATTACTACAGAGTTAAAAGCTTGAGCCCCTGAACATCTTGTTTTGGTCTTTCAAATGTAATTCCTTTTGACGTGTATGCTACAAGAATATACAATGACACTTGATAGGACAAGCTAATTAGAAATACAAGTGGCCATGTTTAGAATTTTCTTTCTTTCTGAAATGCTACACTGATTCCAAAGTGATTTTAAAATATCTCTATACTGCTCTCTATTTGGACTATGGTTAATGTGGAATTGCCAATAACAAACGCATCCTTTTTAAACCAAGAGAACAGATTCCTAAAATACAATTATAAACATGTATGAATATTTAAAAAAAGTACCTTTTAAATGCACCTACAAACAGGTCAATGGATGGGAGGTTGAGTTGGTCAGCTGCAGGGGTTGTCCACAAGAAGAAATGCATCACATCACAGTTCTGTCATCATCCTGAGGGGCAAGAGCACAAACAGTCATCTGGGTGATCTGTTTGTATTGAATATTTAGAGGAAAAGCCAGAGCTGTTGAACACGTCTGGCCTTTGCAGTATGCCAGAAAGGCATCTGATTTGGGAACACTTTCCCAAACTTACTATGTACAGGGGCAGATTCCACGGAGGTCTTCACAGCTTCCCAGAGATTGCTCTCCGCATCCGCGGTTCTCTCTGTGTGAGCTGGGCTAGGGGTTTCTTCAGGTACTTTGTCACACTGCTCCACTGGAATTTGAAAATAAGTGCCATTTTCTTCCATTTCACCCAACTTCACCCCTTTGTTAGGGCCCGACAAGCCTGGTAACACAGTATAACAATGAAAAGATCAAAATTAGCACAGATTTTTTTTTTTAAACAATGAAAAAGCTAGAATAGATGTAGTTAGAGGCACCAAAATAAAAGTGCATTTGAAAATATTTTGAAAGCTTTCGCTGTGGAAGAGATGAGGTGAACCAGGACCATCTGCAGCATCAAAATGTGATTTTTAGTTCTAAGGGTAGAAGAATTGCAGGATCTGCTGTTGGTCTCTGCTCTGTCAGCAGCAACAGTAAAAAACTCCATCTGCAAACTCGCTCCAACAACAGAGGGACAGAACTATTATATATCCTGATTCCCCATAGGAAGTCTTACTTTTTCATAAACTCATTTTATATAAAAGATACATGTCACCACAATATTCAGACATTTATATTTACATTTATGGACATGATAGGTGGGCTATTAATGGTCTTAAAATAGAAGTCATCAGTGACGAAATGCCATCTCAGAGTCCTGCACCATTTCTTTCTGGAGTCTGTCTAGTACTGTGGAAAAAGAATCATTTATATCACTACATTAATCATTTAAGTGGGCATGGTTTTCAGATTCCTTACTTTCTAAGCCAGAAGCCTTAGTTATTGTGAGTCGTACTATGCAGAAATCAGAAGAATAAAACTTCTAAAAATGACTTCATGTACTTTTTATCCTAAAAATGTCTTCTTTATGTTTATGCAGTAGTTCCCATTTGAATGGCAAGAATTACTGTTCTTTCTAAGATAAATTTTGATTCTGCATAATATAATTTTGAAAAGAATTCTCCGTTTTGAGGAGAAAAAGGAATATTTTATCTGCTGTTTAAACAAAAACTTGTATGTTTGAATTTGACTTACAATAGTAAACCACACTATAAACATAAATAAGAATTTATATATTACCATTTTCAGGATACTGAAAATAATCTATTGATGAATTAAAATTCCTAATTTAAACTTTTTTAACAGCAACTCTTCGGTGATTAAAAAGTGTTAGCTAGACTTAGAGTTGTAATGGCTATTTCCTCATAGATAGAGGGTTTTAAATTTTGTTTTTATCTTTACCTTTCTTTCACGGGACATTTTGAATTACCATCACGTTAAATAGACTTCCAAAGAAGCAGCACGCACGTAATCTCCCACTCTCCAGAATATAAGCAAGGATTATAGAGTAATCAGATTAAAGAATCTTTTTGAAAAATCATTTTTGCAGAGAATAGTCATTAAAGTGCATCTGTGTCAGACAACTTTGGCAAATCAGGGAACACAGGCCATGTAAACAACCTTTGATCAGCGCTTTCCACAATATCATTACGAAGCCCCGGCTCTGCTGCAGTGGTACGATGAGTGAAAGTCAGACCAAAACCCATTCATAAGCGCGATTTTCCAGCTGAAAATTAATTTGTCGACTGAAAAATTCCTACATAATTTCAGAGATGATAAGACATAATAAAGTAGGACTATTTTTTTTTATTATTATTTCACTCACACCCAAAGCCGTATTTCTACACAAAAGTCACTTTCCTCCTTTCATCATCTTATTACTTTCCTGGTAAAGTGACATATTAAGCAGGTATGTAAGTGGTTGGTAATTTTAAAAAGCTGAATATTTAAAAAACTTAGTGTATGACTGATCAAAGAACTGACTATGAAGAGTAAAGACTGGGGACTGAGGGTGAATATGCCAAGGAAACGATCCCGTTCAGTGGGAAACGGCCATGAAAAGCTACCAAGGACGGTGTCTGCCTGGCAGGCCTGCCTCCACTGAAAGATCTTTTAGGGCTCTCGAGTCCCAAACACGTCAGTAATTTCAAGCCAATAATACAATTTTTAGGTTCTACTACATCATGAGCAAGGCACATGAACTTCAGCCAGCCTGTGTCTGCAATTACAACTATTCATAAATTAATGTTTTAATGACATTATGGACCCATTAGGAGTATCAACAGAATTTCTGTTCACTTCAACAGCCAGGATATCAGCTGAGAAGCTTTGCCTATGAATAAGAGTCCATGCTTCCCCAGAATATCTTTAATATAGCATCTCTGTCCACATCCTTTTTGTGTGTTTTATATTTTAGCTGAATTCTGTCTTTTGAATGCCATTTGCAACCTTTTTTTTCTCTTTTCCCCAGGTGGGGCTGTATGGATTTGCATCTCCCATTCAGACTGTAATTGTTTGTAATAATATCTCAAGGTGTTGCAATTCTCATTTCATTCAGTCCTGTTGTACACCCATTTAACAGTTAGAAAAAGCACAATATAGTGAGGTTTACATATATATATATAAATATATATATATATATATATATATGGGATGCAAGTTGTTTTTCTGCAATTTAGAAGCATGGTTTGGCCGTCTATAGTTACCCTTTATTACAGAGTGTTTCATTCTAAACAGCAAAAGTATGCACTGAGATTAAATTTAAACCGAGTATTTCCAAACATCATGAGAATTCTTCTATCAAATAAATCTTTCATCTTAATTATCCTTAATAATTTCCACTTTGCAAATGTAAGGTCTGTTAATGCCTTTGGAAGATGAGGATTATGAGAAAGAGACTTTATGAGGATAACCATGTCTCATCTTGCAGAATTTTAAACACCTCCTTTTAGATAGTAAATCTAGTGTTAATTAATAGGGGGGCTATAATATTAGATTGCTCAAATCTCTCTCTCTCATCAAGCTGCTGGGTAGACTGCTCCCTGATGCAATACTTCCATGCTATTTTACATATTGGCTCCAATTTATAGCAAAACATATTGCTGAAAAATGTCACGTAACCTATTGAATACCCAAGCCAAGAACTGCTGTCACAATTGAACTGCTTTCCATTATTCCAATATTAAGTGAATGATTACGACTTAATTTTTGCCTTGAGCACCTCTGAAAATCCCAGGCACCACAATTTTGGACACACACGAGCGCTTTGGGCAGCTGGGCTGGAGGGAAAAGGCCAGTCCTGCAGGAATATCTAGCAGCTTCACTCTCTGTGCATTTGTATGCACCAAGTCGTGTCTACAAATGCCCGAGTACCCGTCAAAATATCCCAACCCATTTTTTAATTATGGCAGCTGCATTCCAAGCTCAGCACTGCTTATTCCACGCTCGGCACTGCGTTTTGAGATAAATTCTTATGAATTTTCTCTAATACATATTTAAATATCCTATTGCTTCTTATCACCTATTCCATCGCCTTGAAAATCCTGCCACCACTTTATCTGAAATAAAGATATCTCTAAAAAATACAGGCAACATTTCTGTTAAAGACTGTTGCTATTTCCTATTACAAATCATGTCATAAGATGCATTTTTCTCGCTGTTTAGTCACTTACCAAATTTCAATGGCCTCTTCAAGCAGGAGCAAATAAGTGTGCTGAACTGACACCTGAAATTCAAATTCCATGTAGAACACTAGGTTAGAATTTTTAGATAATAACATATTTTAATGCTTTATTATGAGTTTTTATATGTATGCACAAAACATTTCTGTAGAGGTATATATCACATTAGTATACAGTTCTGGCTATAAAATATGCAAGAATACGTCAAGTTGCTTCTTTCCTGGTGTTTGTGATCCGCTGCAAGTTTCTCTTACATCTCAGCATTATTTTTAAGAAATCAATAATGCACAAACATTTGCTTTTCTCTCCGTTTATCACCAAGGAAGCTCTCTAGGAACACAATGATGATACCCGATTTGTGTACAACAAGGGGAACGTGAACCAGCACTGAAACAACCGTAACACAGCAGCTGTGCTTCCATAGGAGAAAAGCATTAAGCATCAATCCTGAACGAAATTCTCACTGCATTTTATAAAGGCAAATCAGCCACCATGACAAAATAAGCTTACTTAGAATCAAGATTGTTTTAATATTAAAGATTAGAAAGCATCAACAACCACGATAAGGACAAGAAAACAGAGCCTGTCCCCTTCCTTTCTTAGCCTTTCTCATGGCCAACATGAAATAAAAATTTTGTTTCCAAGCTAGAGGTTGCTAAGTTTTCTGTGACTGGCCTTTTTAGAAAGTTGGGTTTTAATGTAATTGTTATTAGCGCTAAACATTCTGAGCTTTCTAAAGTCCTATTGACTGAAAGTGCACTGAAAGTGTCAGGCCTAAAACAAGATAAATAAATCTGCGTTTTGTGAAACATTTCAACTGGTAGTGCCAATGACTCTTTCCATCTCAATATAAAATTCTAGCAAACTATGACAAAAACAGGGCTAGATTATTTATAGAAAGGGACAGTCATACAGCACTGCTGCCTCCGTAGATTGCAGAGCCTGGGATGGGCAAGCTTGGAAGGGGCCTCTGGAGAGCGGGAAGCAGGGGTAGCTGCAGCAGGCTGAGGGTCCTGAGGGTCTCCAAGCACACAGACTTCTTAAGATCTAAAAAAAATAAAAATAAATTAAAAAAATAAAAAACAACCCCTCCCCCAGCTCTCATTTTACTTTCCTGCCCTGGAACCCCATCTATGAGGCCATAATTAGCTGCAGGAAATGCACATGCATTTACAATCCCTTTTGGTGAACCTTTTGTTATTCAGGAAAGATGCCAGGATTTTTATTGAGTTAGAATAAATCCACACTCTGGCTCTGCAGTCTGGAGCAGGGATACCCACAGTCATTCATGAAACAGAAACATCCTTTTCAAGAACCTCTGTGGGATCCAGCTAGAGCATCCTTCACCTACCGACACCGCCCTTGCTGCATAGGGCTCCATGCAGCACATGGCTCAGCTCAACTGCAGCAGGTTTAGGACGTGTTATATCATCATCTAACTTACAGTGACAGATCCCAGTGATGGGTTTGTAATAGACCTAATACATTCTTCCCTAGGAAATAAAAGCCATAAGCTGCAGCATACTTGATAATGCAATTTTCGATCCATTCTACAGCAGTAAATAATAGTCAAAGGATGATCCCAACCGCTTCATAGGTATGCTCATTTAAACAAAATACAAACCAAATATCAAATGATATAGACAGGGAAAAAAATAAAAAGGAGTGAAATGCAGCCCTACCTTATATATCTCTGAAAAGTGGTAAAACCACAAAAGAGCAGTATCAGTTGCCTATTACAATTGCCATCACACCCGCCCCCTTGCAAATGAAGATTAATGTTATACCAAACACTGCTCAGATAGCTGGTAGCAATACTTGCTTGTATTAATAAAAAAGAAAAGAGCAAAAGCCACATACACAAAGAGCTAGTGCAATGCCTCCTTATGGATTAGGTTACTTTTGCCCAAAACAGCTGAGAGAGAACACAGTTACGGGGCGGGGGGAATAAACACATGTTTAATTTACTAGGAATAGCCATAACAAGAACCAATTTCAAGTAGGACATTAAGCAAATATAGTGTGAATGTGAGCCATTAACCACTATGTATTGAGAGGCATAGATTTGACATCTCTTCCCGAAGGCGACTTCCCGCCCCTTTCCTGGACTTTCCCGAGTTGAAGGGCTCTCTAAATTCAAACTTCCTGCATTCAGGCACCCAAGGCAATTATTCCCATGTTAACATTTAAACAAATCATTCTCTTTAGATATCTGATTACTATTAGGCTGAGTTTACACACACAGAAAAGACTCCTCAAGTTCAATGGCCTAAAAATGTTATTTATTGCCTTACAACAGAGCAATTTTGTTGGTCTAATTAAGTTTGATGTAAATTCTGAACCTAACTCAAGTATAATTGGCAGACTAGGACTTTTTTCCTTTTTTTTGTCCATTTTCTTTAAACCAATCAGGTCCTCTCTACTTGGAAGCCATATAAAAAGAACAGAGGTATTTGATGTTCGTAATGAGCATCCCGGTGCCGGGATCGCGGTTCTCCGGAATCGCGTGGCAATTCCAGCTGTGTCAGGCACACGGGAAGGGCGCCCGGGTCTCCCTCCTTCCACCACGGCAGCGTGTGCAGGAACAGGGAGTACAAATCCCTGCCAGCCTCGCGACAGCCAGCGGGGCCAGCTCTGCGCTGCATCGTTTCTCGGAGCGGGGCCCTGGCTTTGCAGCCCGAGGGCTGCTCATCTGCATAACTAGCCCCTTTTTCCCCCCGTTTCTGAATCACAGTGTCCAGCCAATACAAAAGAGATTAGGAGGTATGAAAACGGCACACAT